CAGGGGGAAATTCTTTACAGAGAGAGTGGTGAGGTGCTGGAACAGCTGCCCAGAGAGGCTGTGGATGCCTCGTCCATTCCTGGAGGTGTTCAAGGCCAGATTGGATGGGGCCCTGGGCAGCCTGATCTAGTATGAAATGTGGAGGTTGGTGGCCCTGCATGTGGCAGGGGGTTGGAGATTCATGATCCTTGAGGTCCCTTCCAACCCTGGCAATTCTGTGATTCTGTGAAATCCCTCTCACTGTGAGAGCAGAGCGAGCGAGAGACCACCTCACGAGGCTGAATGTGTCCAAGTCCATGAGGCAGGACTGCATGCATCCCAGGGTCCTGAAGGAACTGGCTGACGTGATTGCCAATCTGATATTATATCTGAAAAATCATGGCCATAGGTCCATGGTGACTGGAAAAATGGAAACATCACTTCCATTTTCAAGAAAGGAAGACCTGGGGAACTGCAGCTTCCCTCAGTGCCTGTGAAGATCATGGAGTGGATCCTCTTGGAAGAGATGTTAGGGCACGTGAGAGATGAGGTGTTGATCCGGTGTAGCCTCACCAAGAGGAGTTTGTGCTTCAGCAACCTGGTGTGCTTCTAAGATGGAGTGAAAGCATCAGTGAACCAAGGAAATGCAACCGATCAGGTTGTCCACAACCTGGACTTGTGCAAGGTCTTTGACATTGTCCCATACCACATCCTTATCTCTAAGTTGGAGAAATATGGATTTGAAGGGTGGACTGTTCCATGGACAAGAAGTTGGTTGGAAGGTCACAGCCAGAGGATTGTGGTCAGTGGCTCTATGTCCAGGTGACAAATGGTGTCCCCCAGGGGTCTGTCTTGGGACCAGTGCTCTTCAACATCTTTATCAGTGATGTAAATGATGGGATTCAGTGCACCCTCAACAAGTTTGCAGATGACACCAAGCTGAGTGGTGCAGTTGATCTGACAGAAGGGAGAGATGCCATCCAGAGTGACCTGGACCGGCTTGAAAAGTGGACATAATGAGGTTCAACAAGGCCAAGTGCAAGGTGTTGCACTTGGGTTGGGACACTGCAGATATATATAGAGACTAGGAGAAGAACTCATTGAGAAGCAGCCCCACAGAGAAGGAGTTATCCATATCTCTGAATTGGAGAGAGACAGTTTTGAAGGGTGCACTGTTTTGTGGTTAAGGTAGCAAGGGAGAATGTGTTTATTCAGGAACAAAGTGCAGGGTCAAGGAGAAAGGGATTCAAACTACTCAAGAACAGTCTGATGGTTTTAAGTATTAGTGACCTAAGGATAATGGGAAAATATGTTGCTTCCCATGCCAGTAAAACTCATCTTTCTCTGCAGGTACTATTACAAAATAGAAGCATAGTGCAGGAACTGGAAAGGTGTAGTAGCTTGCTAAGCAGATAAATTCCAGAATCTGTGTGTGTTCTCTCCCAGCTGTTTCAGAATAGCTGGACAATCTGGGAAAGAGTCTCTGAAATGAGCCCTAAAAGTATCTCATCTCATACAACCTGTCAAACCCCATAGTTATATTAACAACTATCAAACAAACAATGAAACACTAGTGCTCAGTTAATAATGTCTTTTGGTGATTTTTTTTTTAAACTGTTCTTTAAATAAAGTAGAACATGAAAGTGATGAATTGGAGAGAAGCCAACTTCAGAATTCTCTGATCCCACATGACACTCTTATCAAAGCCAGTACAAGGATATTAAAGAAAGACACAAGATCTCCCACACCTGCAGGTGAGAGACATCACTGTCTTCCCACCAGGCAGTACACTACTTTGTCTATATACTATACTCCTTTGTCCTTGAAACATTACAGCCCTTATCAGAAAGCAAAAAGCTGGCTATTCTCCAGTGTTCGTGCCACTACCAATTGTCCTAACTATGTTTGGAATCCTAAGAAAGAAAATACTGCTTTTCTGCTTGGCCAGTCATGACAAAGAATGTTTGAAATCGAAACTTTGATAGAACTGCACACAGTTGCTGTGCGTTGTGATTGCCTACCCATTTCTTAGCCCAAACCTGCAGCCCACATGATCTGTTAAAGCAGCATTTGTGCTTCTTACCTTGGTCGTAAATGGAGTTGTTACAAGATCTCCCATGCCAGCTCCAAAAGCCAAATAAAGCAAAGTACATGCTGAGTAAGAAAGATGAATCAGATTTAGGAACAAGAAGAGGCACATTACAGAACAGATGTATTAGTTCATGCAGGAAAAGAGGTTGTTCTGCAGAGGAACACAGGTGGACAGCTTCCACAATGACAGACTAATTGCACTCAGGCTCCTGAGAACAGGTAGTTCAGGAGAAGGAAGTTGCATGGAAGCAATTTGTCTCTTCCCTCAGCCTGACACACTCAGAAATTGATGAGGTTCCCAGACAGGCTGTGACCACAGGATCTTGTAATCCTGGGAAGAAGAAAAGGTGTTGACAGCTTCTACATCCAAGGGCATCAGAAGAAGTCTCAGAGGAAACAAGAAGACTGGGAAGAAGCTGCTCTAGGGAAGAGGGTTGTTTATTTTGGAATCGTATGGTTTATCTGGACTTCTGCCACCAGCTCTATGAAGCGTTTGTAATGCCTGAGAATGAATCTTGAGGGTTTTGTTCAACTTGACCTTTGGCATGCTCAATTTGCTGAAGGTACCCCAAGGAAGCACAGCTCAATTAACTGAGGAATCAAAAGCTAGCAACTCACAAAGACTCCACGAGCCCCTGTGGCACTTTAAAAAGTATCCTAGCACTGTAAAACAGATAGCTTGACATTTAGTCTGGAGACATAGTCCTTTTGAGGACCTTGGACTAGAATTATTATTAGAGGCTGAGCAAGTTGAGACCTGGTCATGCATGGCAAACACAGGGACAAAGGCAGTATCTTTAAGACTCAGTAAACCCAGCACAGGCACAGCAATGGCTAGTGAACTGTGGAAGCAATAGGATTGCTTACACATCTTTATACTGCTGCATTAACAATCTCACACAGTACTCCCAAAGATGTCAGGAAGAAATTCAGTGGGCACATAGCATCAAAAAGGGACAATTCAGCTTGTCAGATGGCTTAAGGTAGGATTCACAGACCTCTAACAAGTGCTAAGAAAATATTCGAATAGCAAAAGTGTGCTAGAGAAACCTACTGTTTTGAGTAGTTGCAAGTTCTGCAAACTGAAATAGGCATCCATACTGACTGTCTTTTCTTCCAAAGTTTGTCTACTGTAGCACGTTCCCCTAACCTTTCCACCCTTTACTTTGGCTTAATACAGCAGAACTTGATGAAACATGCAGGAAAGCAACAAGATACAAGTTCTGCTGTGGAATATACATGCATGTTGACAACAGAACCCCGTCTGTCTCTTCAAAGCCATGTGTAGTGCAGACCTGAGAATACAGGTATTGGGGCATCAGTAACACAGAAGTGCATACAAGATGCATCACACTGGAGAACTATTCCTGCAGCACCTTAAGTAAAGACAGACAGCAGAACAGGGGTTCTCCTGTCCAAATCTTTGTGCAGTCTCTTGAAGATAAGAGGGACATTATCTGGGAGCATTAAAAAATGTCTTTGCTGCATAGTTCTGGTTTTCCCTTTTAGAGGTGGAGAAGATCCTACTGCTTTTGCTGCAGGGGTCAGACAAGGCACAGCAGACTGATGGCCTGCAATATCTTCTTAATGTATGGGGAGCTGGTGTTCCCATTTCCTAACAACTAAATATTGCTGAAGTTAAACAGATACAGACATGCTATTTGGGAATCAGAAATCCTCGTAGATTTTGTCGGTGACTTTATGACATATATTAGCAGGTCTCTTAGTTTTAAGTCTTTTTTAAAAGGCAACTGGAAATCAAACAGTTTGCAGTTGTGCAGAATTCTAAAACAAGTGGGGGTTTCTCCAAAGATCTCCATGGTACTGGAGTTGGGAAGTTTACCCTCAAATCAGTCCTTGAAGCAGAA